TTGGACTTATCGGAAAAATATTGTGAAATGGATGTACTGTCCATTCCAGCTTTCTTTTCTGTGCACCTTCCTCCGTATTGACCCGTCTGACGCCCTGTTGATTTGGACATCTAAAAATGCCAACGAGTCGTTACGTCCTAGCTCGATAGTGAAAGTTATGCTACTATGTGCAGTGTTAAACTGGGCCAATAGATCATCGACGCACATTCCATTATCCGCAATACGAAATATGTCGCCAAACTATCGACCGTAATAAACCAAGCTGTTGATGGATTCGTTCAGCTGGTTGCACTCCAATTTGCTCATGAAGACTCAATTGTTCATTTATTCTCCGAGCTTGGCGGTTTTGTCGCAAACATTTCATCACCATGCGAGGTGGCATCCTCAGTGCAGTGATGTGTAGCGTCTAAGGTAAACATCTGTCGCCCAGCTAGCTCAAATTGTTTCACTGAGTCAAGAAAATCAAACGCGTCCTTGTGACTATCTAGGTATGGCTTTCCTGACTGGTTCCAGCTGTTTGACGAGCCACTTGGCGGTTGAATGATACAGCGAGTTACACATATCCAGTATCGGCCTGTGGTAGCCCTTGCTTGTGTACTTTGAGAAGGCCATACAAACTTGGAATCACTGTCCCACTTTGTCTGGTGTATTCAAATATATCTGAATTGATTACATTCTCCTGCTTTAAGCAACGCAGGAATTTCGTTATGCATCTCTCCAGTGCCTGTGTCTTGTCATTCTCATTATCCATTCTACGAAATTTTGACCCGTCAGAAAGAATGGCTTCAACCTTGCTGATGCAGTCCGAACTGTCCATCAGAACGATGTCGGCTCCTTTATCCGGCCTAGACAACAGTACATTATCATTTCACTTGAGCTTTTTATGGGCGTCAAGATGTTCCTGCTTCAATAGATGCTTGGTACACGGTTTATAAGTTAGGTACTCGTAACATGCGTTAACCATTGTTGATTTATACTGCTCGGTTGCTAAGGCTGATGACGGCGCAAGCGTAGCTACTTAGCTTCATACTTAGCATCACAAGCTGTTATCTTTTTCTGCGTGTGGTCCGCCGTGTTCGAAAGTGGAGCTCTGGCGTCAACATGCCGACGCAGCCGATATGTTATTTGTGTTAGATATCGAGTGGATCAGCTTGGAGATTACGATACAGCAATATGTGGAGTTCTGGTTTCTCGCACCGGTCTTTGTTCAATAAGACCGGCAAAATGGGGATAAGCATTATAGTGACTTCTTGGAACCTGTCGATCTTTTGCGTCTTACCTCTACTTGTCGCTCAGTCATTGGGCCCGTGGCGGAAAGGATTACGAGGCTGCCTCAAAATTCGGAGGTCACCGGTTCAAGCGTTTGCAAGGGACCCGGCGACCTCCGAAGCATCCTTAGCCCACGCGGGACTGGTTTTGGTTGCCTGGCAGCAATGTCGGTACTGCGTGCCGGCGTACTGCCGATGCTCTTATGTTTTATGCGGGCGAGCTGTATTCTGGTATTCGTCTTATGCTAAATCAGATGAAGCGATTGGTAATCTCTTCAGTCATGGAGCTGGAGCTTGTTTGAGCTCTCAGAGCAGCCACATTGGGTTTCGGTGTAGCCTGTTTATATGGACATTTATACGGACATTAACTCGCATCTTCAGCGCACGCCTAGGCACCTTATAGTAGACGCGGGATATAATAGTTGCCCGTCGATTGATCGGCCATCACCACCCTTCCACAGTTTTATGTATGCCACTTAATGTTTATACCGAGACGCAGACTTCTTTATACCGCATGGAAACAGGTTGAAGTCCTTCTGAAGTAGGCCGCACTCGTCGGTAGGAATAATCACTCTCAAAATCTTCAGATAGTCCGCAAATAGAGCACACAGCGGTCGAAGATGCTAAGGTAGACCACTAATGTGGATAAGGAACAGATCGGACCCAAGCACCAGGCCTTACGTTCGCCCACTATCCGAGGGATACCCCTTAGCTATGTGATCGTCGACATCTATGTTCTCCTTTCCTCCAGCGACAAACTTGCCGATCCACTGATGCAGTGATCCATAAACACCGTGCACTGGCAGCTTGCAGAGGAGGACCTCATGGCTTATCTTCTCGAACGCATTACTGAAATCGATGTTGATCGCGTCGACACACTTCTGCTGGATTACTGCTTGAAACTATTCATTACATGAGCTAAGATGCAGAAAAATTAACCATCCACTTATACTATTAACAATCAACTCTTCGTTCACTCATGTCGTTGTTAAAATCATTTGTCATCGTGAATCGTATGGCTCATCATCATAAGGATCAGAAGCCCGACTTATAATCTGGGGACGCGTGTTCATACCTGTGTAGGGATCAGGCAACCCTCGCAGTATCCTTAGCCCACGTACGACTGGTGGTGGTTGCGCGGCAGTGAAGCTTTAGTACTGCGTACCGGTGGCCGAGTCGTCTGCACGCTTGCTTTGCAACCATTAGATCACCGGTACAAATCCGCGTAGTGGTGGGCGTCCTCGCGTTATACTCAGCCCGCGAGCGATTGGTGGTGGTCGCGCGGCAGCGAAGCGCCGTTACGGCGTACAGCTGACACATTCTTATTATTATTACTTATTTTTAATCGTATGGTTTCTATCCTCTTCCACTGATTGTTGCAATGTTGCACCAGGATTTTTCTAAATTTGTTGAAAAAAATGATTTTTTCAGTTACTTTTCAGCCAGGCAGTTGAATGCACGCAATAGAACAACGAGAGACAGTTACCCGAATATGGTTGTAATTGCTCCACATGAGGTTTTATTCAGGTTTCTACACATTAGACCCTTTATCCCCCCTGTCGCCCGTAAATGAGAAACAACATCTAGGTAATGCTTCTTCTGAAAAACTTTGTATCAACAAACGACTTGGTTCGCCTACTAACATGAACATCTGAGCAGTCACCTTCGCACTAGTCCTCCCTACCTCAGCGTCGTTTTGCAGACTGACAGACCAACCTGGTTAAGATCGACAGCAGAAAGCGTTCGCATTAGTGGAATTATTTCCTTCAGAACCGGTTGTTTGGAGTATATTTGTTTAATCACTAATGTATTCCTTAGCGTGTATTGTGTTGTAACCCATGCATACATGTGATTCAATTTATCCATCGGGCATGCAACCTAAACCAAGCTAGTTGTAGAAAAAGTGGGAAGGAAAACTGTGAATAGGGAACCCAACTGGAACTTACACTAGGCAGAAAACATTATTGTAGTCATGCCCCTATAATTAAGTACAAAAACAGCAAATTATTCAATTGCAATTTTGCAACTCCAACATCCGCGTGTGTCACACTTGTCATGACGAACGCACACGACAAATGATTGGTCTTCGAATAAGGCAAAAATGTTTTCAGATACAGACGTACAGTAAAATATCGTGATTTGACCACTCCTCTAAGTTGACCGGTTGCTTTTTCATTGCTTGCGTTTTCAGCATGTAAACCTTATGGATCCACAGTTCCGTATCTTCACCCCCTCTGTATTTTGACCGCTTTGGTTCAGTCGCTTGTGTGGCCAGATTACGAAGGTTTTACTGTATTTACTCCTTAAAACATTCCTTGTGCCAGTTGCAGGCCCGGTTGCAAGGGGCTATGTGGTTCACATACTTGATGAAAAAAATAGTAGCTATAGTAAGGCGAGCTTCGATTGGATAGAAATTATTGCGTAGCAGTTTGCTTATTGCAGTCTGTAAAAGATGAACTAATTCGACCATAAATATCAAGAATATAAAATTAGATTCGAGGACGTTAACTCTCTATAAATGCGCTTTTAAATTACATTGATTTAAAATCTTATCTGTGAACGGTGGAAGGGTTTGCAAATGTGAAAATCACATTCTCAAGTGGACACTTATGCTTGAAGAACTTTCACTTGATGCATACTGGCTCCATTGGATACCGATTATTAGGGTATTACCCATCCACATGCTTCCCGGTCTTATTCCTTCGGGTTTACATCGGATATGAGGTGTGTTGGTGGTACAGCGCAAACCACCCATGGTCCGTCTGTAGGCTCAGGCGTCCTGTGGCTGGCCACAGTGACAGGTAAATCCGAAACCGGATGCCGCCAACCATTTCCGTGCACATTAGCTAGTGTGATAAGATGTGAACGACATGTTAACAGCCTCGGTGAGTGAACGATTGCGTCTTGATTATGCAGTTGCTCCAGCTTCCGTAGCGCCGTTCACTGAGATGCTTTGCTCTACGATTCATAACTGATTGCTTTCTGTGCTAATATAATATTCCTCCGGTCTGGTGTTCCAAGTTCTTACTTCCCAATCAGTAAAGAAGTTGGCAATTGAACTTTGCGGCTGCAATCAGAAATAACCTCGGCAACTCAAAAGAGGTCGGGACAAATTATGCTGAAAAGAACCATGGTGGTGTGGTATCAGGAAGCAAAAACGGTCATAGAAACAACATTCATCAACTTTTAACGCGTTATAAAATATCTATTATCTGGGAAATTGTTTTAGCACAGACCAAGGCTCAGACAGTTTCATTTTTCTGCAGTTGACCATGCATACAAAAACGGTTGTTGTACGAGGGTTTCATCTTACCAGTTCCAAACTTTCAGCTACTGAAGCAAATCCGAATCCAAGACTTCTGGTAACTATGTTATGACATTTAGTCTCCTTACTTTGCATGCCTTCTAATATTATCAGAACCAATCCGAAATCACGGGAATCCGGTAGTCTAATTTGTGCAACTACATGGATTATGGCAAGTTTCTCTAACAGCGTTTGAAGCTTGAGCCACCGAGCCATTTGACGGCGACTACATATTCGTCAAGTAATATTTCTCTTATTTCTGCCACCGCGATATCTTTAATGTGAGATCCACATTTATCAAAAATCTTTAAGGATGCCAACTGTTGAATATTGTATTTTGCCCGTCAAAATTCAGTACTTAACCATTTACTTGAAATGCGTTTTCTGGTTTGATCGTCTTATCTATATCCATTTTATCTTTCGTTTAGGTCTACTTACTTTGCTTGCGTGTATACTCTATCCAATCGGATGGAGTGAAAATTCGGAAGTTAAACAAGCTTGTGGCGATGAAGCTAACACGCTTAATCTGGGTGAGTCTGACCCTTTATTTGGTTGTTTCCACTCAGAAGGCATTGGCGTGTCCACACCGATCGTGTTCATCCCTCGGCGACTGGACCTCAACCACTTCTGACAACAACCTACATTGCAAGGCGTGATAACGCATGATAACACCATTGTTATGAAAAATTCGGAGTACCTTATTCCCCAGCATTCCATTTGTGCCTATCACATACCGCGTCACATTAAGACTAAAGATACAAACCTTAACTGGGATTGCTGAGGAATTTTGAGACTTTACCATTTTCGCTACTAAACTATGGCCTGTAGATGGCACATGACAGCCACCACAACATCCATTATCTTTGTTTGGTTGTACACATTTTTCGTTTGTTTACCTCAACATATTTGTTGCACTCCTTTAGTCGTTGGGACCAGTCTAACACAACCACAATTTTGCCTCTTATATGTTAGCAGCATCTATCATTATAATAACCTGAAAGCAAACAGGATTTCTGTCATGTTGTTACTGGTCTAGTGCAAAACCTCGATGGCTGTAAACGATCTGATATTAGCAGTTTGTAACTGGATTTGTTTGAGCTCATCTGAGTAAAATCTCTTTCCCCAGTTGGACATCGGTAGTATAGTACATCACAATAATCGTGCACCAATGGTTTTCACTGTACCGTTAATGTCAAACCATGGAGCAGCCTCATATGTTCGACAAGTTTATTTGCTTCAACTCCCTACTCCTTTGCGAATTACCTCTTACCAGTGTGGATTGGTCACAATTGCCCCTGCGGCGATCCTCAGATGAACTGCCGTTCTAGTTAGTGATTGCTTCTTCCGTCAACTTTCCCCTTCGATCTACTAAGGCCAAGATGGTCAAACAACATCGCGTTCCGTGATATCATAACAACGCAGATAATTTGTCATCAGCTTTATGTAAGCAATGGTGTGGACAATGGAATGTATACAGGCTAACTGTAAAACTGATCATCCTCTGTTGAAGGAGCAAAATGATGCAATTATTATAACGTATCAAATATCTGGCGTTGTTCACGCAACATTTCGAAGTGGGTTAATCTGGTGTCTATTGGATTTATCACTTCACTGTTACATCTGTGGTCATTTCTGGCAAATCAGCATGTCTCTACACGGGCCAGCGGCAGGCTATGTATCTAAAATCCGATGAAATAACATTAGTCAAAATGATGGCATAATTTACTTATATATTAACCAACACTACATTCTGTCGGTTGTTGGCCTATAGCATCAGACGCTTACCTCGTAATCCAGAGATCGCCGTTTCTGAATAAGTTTAGGTACGGAATCCTTCGCGGCATACACAGCCCACGCGCGATCACTGGTAGTCACGTGACAGTAAAACGTCAGCATACAGCTGCTGCCTCCTTTCCAGCACATTTCCAAGACAACGATGGTTGGCGGAAATCACCAAGACACTAGACTAGTGGAATAAACTTCTCCTATTCCTGTATTTCATTCCGTTGGGTCACATTCCAAAGTCAGTTGCACGATTCGGTCACTGCCAGGGCTCTGCGGACGACTCGGTAAAATCACGTACAATTCAGCTAATTCATCATTGTCAATCCCAATCAGCAGAATTAGGCTAGTCTGGAAAAGCACCAGACGCTGGCGTTTCAACTTTCTGGGTCTCGTCAGTGGTGCGCCTCCCTGATTGAGAGTGGTAATGATGAATTAGCTGAATTATACCAAAACCCTCACTTCTACTCATCAGTACTATAAAATGTATCCGTATAGCTTCTAAGCCCTGTGTGGTACACAGGCACTATGCGGAATGTCGTAGCTCCTGAGGCTAGCCATTATCCTCTGCAAAGTTGGTAACTAGCATGACAGTGGAAGATGAGCCGGGCTATATCATAGTCAACTGTCAATCATGCAGATCCGCGGCTGTCACCCATGGCGAAGTGGCACTAGCTGCTGGTATCCTGAAGTCATGGGGTTGGAAGCTGGCAGGGGTCCGCTGAGATGCGCACCACTGAAGAGACCCAGAAGGTCGAAACGTCGGCGTTTGGTGCTTTTTCAGACTAGCCTAAGCCTGCTGATTGTGAGTGACGATAATGTATCAGCTGAATTATACACTCACTACTCATCAGTCAAAATCATCCATCCATGATACGATGTTGTAGTAAATAGTAAGGAGGCGAATAATGAAAAGAAAATGGAAAGTTAAAGTTGCCACTTCATGCGGCGCAGGCAAATAAACTGTGCATGCGCCAAACCGGACAGAGGTACTGCAGATTACGCAGTAGGAACCAACGACAGTTGTTTCAACATTCGTTGTGTGTTATACGTTCCGCTGTCTGTCAGTAAGCAAACAGACTAGTGTCCAAAATGAAGCCATCAAAATTTTCGTGAACGGGTTACATGATGCTCTTTCATGACGGGTTATTTTCTTTCTGCTTTTCAATAAGCGCGGGCATTTGTAGCTAGGTTGCTTATTGTAACATATGGAAGCCAGGACATTGAGGCTAATCATACTATCGTTGCTCCGCACTTCCAATCTCATAATTTGTTTTCTCAGCTTTCTTAGTTTCGATGTTTACTGCATCTCATCATTATTTCAAGCGGAGATTTATGACCGTTAACCCATACTCATGCTATCCACTAGCTTGGTTGTCAAAAGGCTAAAGGTGGAATTAGGACATAAACGAAACCGCGCATAAATAATTAAGAAATCTGAGCTTTACTTTCGGTTGGCAACAACAAAATACAGATAAATCACATCGGTATGAAAGTATCAGTATGGAAACAAATCGATATCTGGCAGCTGGTCACACCTGATTTACCAAGGTGGCATACAACCCCGGGTTAGCGTGACTGCAATTCCAGGCTTCAGTCATTTATTGCACGCATGCCGTTTTGATCAGGGACAGCTAGGCCAAAAAGGCCGTGGTATTTCACCTGTTATTTCCCATTCTATTGCCAATGTATGGTATCTCCTGTTGTAGTCTGTTAACCTTGGTGTGCCTGCTTACACTTTGTCAGTTGCGTCAAATCACCAAGCATTTTGATGGAGTGTACGGGCATTTTTGATCTTTATGAAGTGTTCAGATTTTGTCCAATTCATTACTGGGTGTGCGACTTGCATGTGTTTAGGTAGCTATAAATAACCTACAGTTAGTTATTCACTTACTCTGAATGGAATTTTGCTATTTCAAAGTATCCTAAATGAAGATCTATTAGATTGGTGTGTTTACAACGCTGCATCTCATAAACGCTTGCGTATATATTTGGTGCATTCATATCCAACGGCTGACCATGCGCTGATATATCAAATTGACAAAACTATCTTAGCTGCACTAACTATTCTCGGACCAAGCAGTTCTGCAAGGAGTCAGGGTATTTCCTATTGTTAGATATAAGCCTAAGTTTTGGCTGGCCGAAAAGTCTTCCGAACACCAATTTTTCGCAGATCACGTAATCAGTGCCAATTTTCACGATCCAAGAACGTTCGTTATAAACAAATACACAGCGAACTATCAGGTCACCAGCGAAAATCAGGTGATGCAGTGTTAAGTCTGTTTAGCCTGGGTGAACAGCAGAATATGTGGCCTCATCCGTTGTTTCTTCTATGTTCGCTTCTGAGTGGCCATCTGGATTGAATTTTCCAAGAGCGCGTCCCCAGGCGAGGGATATGGTCTGCCTGTTGACACAAGTAGCAATGCGCGAAATTCAATAAGGTTTAATTTTGTCCGTCTTTTTAACTGAATTGTGGGTACCTGAAGCTTTTGCAATCATTTTGCGCAGATTACTCATGTCTTCCTAGCGCCCTGATACCGATGACCTACCAGACTCAGTTGAGCTCCAACCTAGTCTACGCCACCTACTGCACCTTAGCAACAGACGGAACTGAACCGCCACTTGTTCAAGTTGATCAAGCAGTACAGGAGGTTAGAATGTCACAGAAATGGTTGTAACCGCATGTGTCAACCTTGGAGAGCCTACCATAATTTCCTTGTTGCTGCCCCATTTTATGTTTGTTTAAAAGGCGCCTTAACGTTACTCTGACCTACTTACATTACGAAATATAGCATGCGTACATCGAGATACGATATGACATGAAAACTACACCGACTAGCATTATCTACAGAATAGAAACAGGCCCTTTTACGCATACCAAGGTATAAGCAATATGAAGAGTCCGCCAGTACACTTTTACTTTTATCACTTTTACTTTTATCCACTTATTAGCATCCTGCAGGACTTGTTAACCGTTTGCTTGTTTATCCATGATGCACTTTTGTTCCGTTGCTCACAATCGGAACATGTTGATTAACCGTGCCATCATTTGTGGCTGCATATCCGAACTGTGCTGAACATCCAACCACAGAGAAAATACAAGAGTGCCAGTTTCGAACATAACAGATTACACGAAATGTTTAATGGATTTTTCCGAAGAACTCCCCACGGACCCCAGGCGGTGCGCTAGGTCACAAATACACTCACCCTCACCATTAAATAATGTGGCTCTTTCAGGAAATCAACTTGTGATATTCGAGAGTTTCTGATTATAACTTAACTTGCAGCGTAATCATAAATCACAACGCGTTTCCTTGACAAACAACCTTCATCATCATCATTATACACTTTAGCAAGAGTTGTAAAACACCTCAGTTACGGTGCCTCAATACACAAAAGAAAAAAATGAAAACAATTGCAACGGTTGCATGCCAGCTGAGCTATTAGCAACGGATTGGTATCGTTCCGGAAGGCTACCATCCGGCTACTAGGCAGCACGAAATTATTATTTAAAATTACATTATGCTACGAAATAGCATCGTGGTTGGAGAAGGAGACTAAAAGGAGACGGGAGGGCAGGGAAAACTCGCAACACGAACGCCACTGAGGTCGGTTCCCGGCCATGTCAGCAAGTGTATCCAGCCAAACGTGTTCATCATTTTTTGGACCACAAGCAGGGAACTGTGATGCTCCAACCGAGGCCAGTTTCGAAGTGAGGGCCTTCATTCCTCTCGACTAAGTCATGGCT